CCTCCCCCATTGATGCACATTTCTCTAACTCTGTCTGTCTCTCTGCCGTCTCCTGTTTTTTGTCTGTCTGTCTCCCTTCCCCCTCCCGATGTCTGCCTGCCATTCTGTCTCCCTTCCCCCCCTTCTGTTGTCTGTCTGCCTGTTGCGCTCTCTAACTCCCATGTGCACGCTCTCTCTCTCCCCCTCTGTCCCCTGCATCTCCCGTGTCCACAGCGCCATCAACGTGGAGGTGACATCCATTTGCCAGATGGTGCTGGAGGACTTTAACCTCTGCCTCTTCTACCTGCCGACCAACCTCAACCAGAGCACCTCGAGTGAGGACGAGGAGGAGTTAGACTGGGGCTACACGTTCCTGCCCGACCTGCTGATCTTCCGGATGATGGTCATCTGCCTGATCAGTGTGCACAGTCTGAAGAAGACAGGTACGCCGGCTGGCGAGGGGCGTGGGGTAGGCAGGGCTCCTGGGGCGATTCCCTACCAGATTCTCGGGAGCGCTGGGGCTGGAATGTTAACAGTCACGTTTTCTGGGGATGTGGCTGCTTAGCTCTTTTAATGACCCACCGTTAGGTGCTGAAGCCTTGTCTGTCTGTGCTATTGCCTTGTGTCTCTCAGCTGGTGGCTACGTGTGTGTTGCAGGTGTGAAGCAGTACAGCGCAGCCATCGCCTTCACCCTCGCCCTCTTCTCCCACCTGGTCAACCACGTGAATATCCGACTGCAGGCAGAGCTCGAGGACGGAGAGAACGCTGTCCCTTCCCTACAGACCGAGAATCCAGGTAAACCACGTCCGTCCCCTTCCCTACAGACCAGGAATCTGGGTAAATCACTCCCTCTCCCTTCCCTACAGACCGGGAATCTGGGTAAATTACTCCCACTCCCTTCCCTACAGACCAGGAATCTGGGTAAATTACTCCCGCTCCCTTCCCTACAGACCGGGAATCTGGGTAAATTACTCCCTCTCCCTTCCCTACAGACCAGGAATCTGGGTAAATCACTCCTGCCCTATCCCTGGTGAGGGCGAGCGTGGCGTCAGTTCCTGCGCCAACAGAGTGCCTGCTCTCACTCCTCCCCTGCCGGTGGCTGTTCAGTTTCTATCTTGTATCTCTCCTCCGTCTCCCTCCTCGCAGACGAAGTCGAGGCGAAGGAGGTCGCGCCACGGGAGATGGAGCCGGCTCCAGAACCGGTTGGCGAGGTGCAGAACGGGGCGCCGCCTGTCGCCCCGGGCAAGGCCAAGGGCAAGAAGTATTCCCGGCTGTCGCAGCTCCGGAGGAGACGGCACGCCCGGCAGAAGGCCGACGAGAGCGACCTGAGCGAGGGCTTCGACTCGGACCCCAGCGACGAGTCGGCCAAGGAGAGCGAGCGCTCCGACAGCGGCACCGACAAGAGCGAAGGGGACGAGGAGGAGGAGGAAGAGGAAGACGAAGACGAGGAGGAGGAAGCCGAAGCGGCCTTCGACTTGGAGTCGGACTCGGACATGAACAGCCAGGAGTCGCGCTCTGACCTGGAGGACAGGGGGAAGAGTCGGCTGGTGGACGCAGGTCCGAGAGCGCCCCGGGCTCCTGGAGTCAGCCCCGGGGCCCCGATGCCGCCGACCCGGCTCCCGCCAATGGGCCGGCCAGCGACAGCGACTCGGCCATCGCCAGCAACCTCCAGGCCCTCTCCTCGCAGATGTTCCAGCCCAAGAGGTGCTTTCGCCTGGCGCCCACCTTCAGCAACGTGGTGTCCAGGCCGCCGCTAACCACTGGCGACGGGGCGCCCGTGTCCTCGACTCCCGAGAAACCCTGTGCCAATGGCGTGCTCCAGGCTCCAGGCGCTCCCGATCACGGTAAGACTGCAGCACCTGCGGCCTCTCTGCAGGGTGCTCTCTATTCTCTGCTCGCCCTCCATATTCTAACCCTCCTCACCCCCTCGCTACTTGTTCTCCTACCCTCCCGTTCTCTCCCCACTCCATCCC